AATTTATTTGAGATGCAGAGGGTAAAATGTGCAATGACCTTAGAAATGATTACCATTAAGGAATAACAATAGTCAAAAACCATACAACTACTAAAATAAATCAAAATTATATTTATTTTCCCCGAGCTTTCATCAACTCTAAAATATTAAGTGTCCTACAACAAACTTGATGTTCAGTTCAACATTAGCGGCTGAAGATCCACCCTCATATTCCAATAGCCAAAACTATGTTGCCCCACACATGCAACAATTCTCAACTGACGTGGTTTAAATTATTTATAGACTTTCCTAATCATCTCTTCACTAAAATGAGAACACTTAGCATGCAATGTAACAATTTAAGTTCAAATGCACAACAGCTGTATCACCAGGTTTTTTTATTGCTTTGTTTTCTCTCATCTTTTAAAATGTCAACATTCACCAAACTCCAGAAGAGAGAGTTGAAGTTTTTCAGCAAAGTTTTAGTTGCAAGTTCAAGAAGAAAATGGAAACTTAAATAGAAAACTTACCACAAATCTAGCCACCTCTGTGGGATTGTGAACAGCTATACTTTTTGGAGTGATCTCAGAAAGAAGCAAAATAGCAACCTAGGATCATTCAGGAAAAATCCAGTGATTATGATTTCTTTCTATCTTTTATGTTCGTTTTTCTTTTCTTTTCTTTTTTTTCAAAAAAGGCTAGCTTTTCCATTGCATGAAAGCAAAATATCTACAATAATCACCCAGGCATACTTGGGTTTAACATATCACCTAATACTCAAAATTTTGCACTGACAAAAAGTAAGAAATTCATTTTTTTTTCTTCTTTATTTAACAAAGGTGCTATGTCTTTCAGTGTGCACAGGTACATATAGACTAGAAACAAATTCATTTAGGAGAAAAGGAAATAAAAAGTATAAGAAGATCCAAGATCATTTCTTGTTGCTCTATAGGATAGCTTCAGATTAATAATTTCATAAGTGAGTTGAAGAAAAAACAAAGAAAGGGAAAAAAATATGGTAAAAATGGAAAACTCCCCTTGAAGGAAATAAGCTAAGCCTATCATGTACGATATACAAGACATTGTTTTGATTTTCTAGTAAAATATCAACTCCTTTACCAATAATATAAAGAGAGAAATATATGCAAATTAATCTACTGTATAAAGAATGATTAGTGCCCAAAGGTTTGGATACCCACAATATCAAAAAATAAAATAAAACAAACAAAATAAAGAATTACCAGCGTGCAAGAGTTGAAATGCGAGTATCTAGGTCATAGAAAGTTCTAGAGCCACCGAAAATACCAAATCTCGAACTCAAAGACCCTATGGTCACAAAAGATCCAGCTCATTTACCATTGCCACCCACCTTTTGATCATTCTACAGTCTATTAGAGTTACCCAACATGATTTCTTATTCATTCTTCCTTTATTGTTTACAAAGGAAGCACAAAACTTTGTAACAACAAACTCTACAACTCAGGAGCTAACTTAAAGAGATTTATCCTGAAACAAATTTAAGCCTTTTACTCTAATTTACTACAAATTCACAATGAGTTACATACGAGCACAAAAAGAGGCAGACAAGGCACAAACTCAGATTTCAATTGCTATTCACTAATTATAAGAGCTATCAATCTTCAAACCAAGAAAGCAAACCTTCCATGGCCAGAGTGTAGTTATAGAAGTCTCCGCCATTGAGAAGAATGCAGATAGACCCAAAAGTGCAGTCAAAATCACACCTTGCTCTTTGAAAATCTTAAGAACCATAGAAACCGTAGGCCACGCATTCCTCAACAGCAATGCCCACCGCTCAATCACTCCGTACGACATTCACCACTCCCTCCACCGCGAGCACTCTCTTGCACGCGAAAACCAAAAGACAATAAAGCATTGCCCCAATAAAGACTCCCCGCTTCAGCAAAATCTTCAGAGACTCCAAATCCAGGCCTAAAACCTCACCTTGGTCACCACCCAGATGATTGCTTTCTACGCTTAACGATCTCAAATGAACTATAAATTCCACCAAAATGGACGGATTGAAACAGCTGGAGACTACACGACATGGGAAGTGATTACTTTTGGATTTCAAATTTCGATTGTGTTGCACGGAAATGAAGGAGGGTCGATTAACAACCCCACAATAGTTATAGCTGAAGGAAAATGTTAAAAATTTCAAAAAAAAAAAAGATTCAAATCCTATTCCACCTTGTTCCTGTTGGAACTGTGCGTGCTTGGTGATGGATTTGCTGCAGATGGAACGGAGGACTTAGGATTCATAATAGAAGAGAAACCCTAAAGGGGTGAAATTTAG